TCATTGAAATTCCCAGTCTTTAAAGGATTTGACTAAACATTATAAATGTAAAAATCGTATTACTCGTATCTAAAACCGAATGAAACACATTCATTATTTTCTCAGTCAAACTCTATATAACAAGAAAACAAGTAGGTACAAGAAAAAAAAAAACAATATTGTTTTCGACCAATGAAATGAAACAGAAAATATCCCCACAAACTTCAAATAAACATAATTCTAAACCGTTAATACTCTGAAAACAAGGCCCATAAATTTAAGTTTCGTAGTTAATAAGAAGCAAACAAAAAGTGTACTGTTTTATTAATTTGTAAGGAGACAATAAGCCCCAAAATCCCTTGTAACGGACGACTGTTGGGTCGAGTTCGTTCTTTGAACACCTGTACCGTGTACCCCAATTATAAGTTATTAATACTCCTTCGTTGCCTCGCACAGGAGTGTTAGTACTTCGGATACCGATTTCGGTGCAATTTCGAAGCGAAAATTGTCCTGTTACTTTTCAAGTCGTACATTATTTTATTTCTATTGAATTTGCTTAGTTTTTGTATTTGTTTAAAGGATACCAGATTCATTCAGTATATTATGATTACAACTGGAATGAATTCATTCAAGTTCTTTATATAAATTTGTAACGAATTATTCGAGATTCTGCTCTGAAAATACAGACTGCTAAACTTTAGATTTTGTCACAGCCATTGAAAGATAAGAACAATTTAAATAAAAACCATATCATTTATTGTAACCTTAGCTACAATAGCTATCTCTCTCTTGGGCACGCAGCACACTCACTCAGCGGTAAACCACACTTTGAAGAGTAGTTAAAGAGATGCCATGACGTCGCCCAACCAGAACCAGATCCGAGCGTACTGCGCGTTGCTTCACGCTTAGGGCTTCAATAAGCCCTTAGACCGCCAGAGATGGGGTACAACAGGGCCGATATTCAGCTGGCATTGCAGGGCAAGCGCAATAAGGCAAGCGGCCTCAGGAGAAGGAGCGGGGGGAGGGAGAGGCTTATAAAAACCTATTGTATCTGCACTGAGCTAATTGTTTTATTCTGTGAAATCATGTAATTTTGAGATTTACACGCAATTTTTTATACAAAGGCAAGTATCTAACTAAGATAGTATTTAAAAACATCAAAAGATAAGATTTCGTATCAGATTCTTTCGATAAAAGACGATTACTTTGACACTTTTATCAAAAATGCACAATTTTCAGTTAAAAAAATTTACAGCATACGCATTTTTATCTTTATTTCTTAACCCCTTGATCGCCGTGGGGGACGCTGTTGACCTTTTTTTACGCAGAGGATGCAACGTCGTGCTATCAGTGATTATACTTTCAGTACCTAATTAAAAATCAAGTACTTTTTATACTACTTTTTGTTTATTTTGTTGAATTAGAACAGTTATACAACTCAGAAATTCATTACCATTTAATATTTACAACTTATTAGAAAAACTCTAATTTTACAAAAAGAAAATACATTTTACATTCAACGTTGTACCTACCTAAAAATTTTTCTATAAGGTTTAGTGCGTCTGCACTTACCGGCCGATTCTAGCTGTCTGGATCTGCCAAGTAAACGCAAACGTCATGTCTTTAAAAAAAAACATTGCTCCACACTCGGATTTTCTCCTGTGTCGTGGGTGAGTTTACAAACATACAAATTCACATACACATCACACCCAGACCCGGTACAATAATCTGTGGATCACACAAAGATTTGTGCAGTTGCCCAGCCATCGCGCCAACCATGCAGTCATAATCAGCCATGCATGCATATCAAGGTCGACGTAGTATTTTCCTAATCAGTGATTGATGGGAACAAACATATTAATATAAGACGTGTTCTCAAGTGAGTGTGAGATAACATTACACTTCAATGGATGTTGCAATTTTTGCGGCTGATTACGTTGTCCTTTATGTTTTTTTTATTAATATCACACATTAACGAGTATGCTAACTTCGATAAATATACGTTACAATAATAAAGAAAATTCGCCATGCGTGTCAGTTTCGATTTTTATGAAAAAAATAAATAATTTGATTGGTGTTTAAGATAAAGTAATAAAGCACTAAGTCAATGAAATCTAAAGCAAATTAAATGTCCTTAATGCATCTATAGTATACACAGGTAGTCCACAATTTTAACAGATATTTCAACTATAAGCTCTGTCGCTCACCTAAAGAACTTATAAGTCAATATTGACCAATTTTGAACAATCTTTACATAATTATCAATACTCTCTCATCTTATCAGCAAGAAATCCAAACTAATATTAAAAATGCTAAAGTAACTCGGTCTGTTTGTCTGCCTGTCTGTCTGTCTGTCTTTTTTTTACGCCTAAACTACATGTGAAATTTGGTACAGACATAGTTTGGAACTCGAGGATAAAGGATATAGGATAGTTTATAAACCAAAAGCAGGAAGTCACTATTCCACGCGAACAAAGTCACGGGCAAAAGCTGGTAACTAATTATTATGCGAACAAAAGTGTTTCTGTTTACACTGATCATGAGACGTCTACACGACAGACGGCCTAGATTTCCAACGAAAAAAAAATAATAAATTTCAGTTAAAAGGAGGGAATTTGATATCATAAAAAATAAATTAAATGAAGAAAATTTGAAACGAACTATTTGGCGTTCCATAACGAGCTTGGCACACAATTATAAACGGCTCACTACTAAGAAAATAATTATAAGGACGTTGCAAAAGAAGATCCATTTTCATTATACTTGAGAACGATATTGTTCAAGATCATTTTGCGAGGGAACAGTTTGTCGTCGGAGAAAAATAAGTAGATATCCGGCCGAGAGTGATTCATATTCATAATGTCTTCGCGAATAATTAGTTTTCATTATTCACGAGGCCGAGCTAAAGTATCGCGGCTTCGGAAAACACAAAATATTATTTAACAACTATATTCGTTGGGAATAAAATGTCGAATAAATAAAATGTTATTAACATTTCATTTAAAATTTGGTAAGTATTGTGATAGCAAGGTTAATATGATTACAGTTTTGAACATTACTTTAAAAGGAGTGATGTTGCTACGGAAGAGTCAGTGCGAGCAAGGCTAGCTCGCCGCCTGACCAACACGTTTTACGCATGCCTGAAACTGGGGCCACTAAGTCCGATGTCCAGTCAAGGTTGCGGGTGTAAGCGCAAAATACCGCGGCTCCGGGCTGAAGTGGAAGAAGGAACGATGTGGTTTTCAGCCAGATAGAGTCTGACACTCCCCTACGCCCCATTAATGGCGGGAGAAATAACTGTATGACATGACGGTCCCCCATCTAAACGAAAAATATAGAAATTATATTAATTGTAATACAATAAAAAGACAACATACTTATGAAGAAATAGAGTATTTAGTTACAAAAAGAAATGTGAACGTTACAAAAAAGGAGGAGGAGGAGGAGGAGGAGGTTTATGCGATTTGTATAATGCATTTCTGAAAATCCATTAGATTTAGGTGATTTTTATATTCTCTCATGTTATTTAGAATTTTAGGTCCCTTTTTCATTCCTAACACTATTTACAGGACGCTATACGTTTTATGAAACTACAAGGAAGTTGCATTTACATCCATCATCAACGAAACACTTTGTTTGGGCAACCCTTTTGTTGAAAAGATAATTGAGAAAAAACCCACACGGACGCGTACCCGAAGCTTACGAAGAAACAAAAAATGTAGGTACATTACGTTGAAAAATATTCAATCAATACCCACTTTAAAATTTTCATAATAATTGTACTTTTGTAAGAACACTTATATTTTGAATCGACAATATTGAAAACAATATTGACAGAAGAATCGTTCAGTTGCAAAAACAATTGTTTCCATTCAACGAGGCTATTGTACCATTGTACCTGGAACAAGAGGAAAAGTATGTATTCTCAAATGCTTTTGTTTTACTGCCAAACCTTTGTATTTAAGGTACTTAAGTTATTTTCTTATAAGATCATTATTCAGAATTGTATTGTTTAGTTCATGGTCTTTCGATAAACATTTAAGACAGCTCGGATGGCACTAAGTCGAATTTTAAATAAAACGACAATTTGGTTAGAGATATAAATATGTAGTATTACACGACGAATGGTAGGATTGTTGATAGAAATACAGAAACTTCTCTTTTATGAGATACCTGATTTACCTGATGGTAAGAGCACCGCCCATTGATAGACACCCGCACCTACGGAGAAGTTACGAATGCGTTGCCTATCTTTTGGGGATTGGGGATTTCGAGGGTTGGGGTTTGTGAAGGGGAAATATTGGACCTCCGATGAAAACTAAAGAAACTACAAGGATTTTTCTTCACTATAACGGGCCAAGGTTCTTTAATACACATTGTGAGAGCCATGCTTTAGCATGTATGGGTGGGCTCGACTAGAGTCCCGCAGCCCTACAAAAAGCCGGCGTGAAACAAACACAGCGCTGTGGTTCGCCGTGTGAGGGTACTTAGTTATTGGGCGTCCAATCTTTCCCTATCATCTATAATCACTACATCTCCACCATAATTCTCTAAAGGCCGGCAACACATTCGTAACTCCTCCAGTTTTGCGAGTACCTACGGGCGGTGCCGATTGCTTATCATCAGGTAATCCGCCTGCTCGTTGACCGTCCTGTTACATAAAAAAACTTAAGTTTTAACCGTCAATTCTTATCTTAATAAGTGGAAGCGTGTTAAGCCTATTGACTTAATCTATTGATTACAATTGATATGTATACTGTTTATGTATTGATAGATATAAACAGAAAATATAATACCTTTATCATTGTTTTTTTTATGTGATAGGACGGCGAACGAGCAAATGGATTACCCGATGGCAAGCAATCAGCGCCGCCCATGGATACCCACAATAACATGGGAGTTACGAGTGTGTTGTCGACCTTTCTTTGCTGGGGATTAGGGATTTGCAGATTTTGGGATAAGGGGGAGAAAAAGATTGGGGATTTTCGTATAGGTACATACGCGTCTGCGGACGACAAGCTATGTTAGTTTGGCCCCAGCTAGAACTAGACCCGGGAGAGCCTCAAAGCCATCAGACTACCACAAATGGGACTACCGCACGGAACAACGGTATGTGTGATCCAGAAATTTTTGTTTCGAGTCTGGGTTTGAAAATGTATGTTTGTAAACGCACTCGCGACGCAGGAAAAATCCTAAAGTGGAGCAACGTTTTACCGCAACCTGGGCCGAAACAGGAGAAGAAACGGGGTATTAGGTATATCATTTGCCTACAATCGTTTTTGACACAAAAAAACTGCCTGTTTAATCCTAATCAATCTATCTACTTTGCGTACAATCGTAATCATGTAAATTATTAATTCCAACAATGTTATTTCTTATTGAACTTTGATAAATCAACTATATCTGCTGACATTTTATCTTCTTGTTTATCTGAACACTATCTTCTACGGAGTATAAATATTTTACAATGTTTATAATTCTCACAGCTACTGTTGTGGCGTTCACCATGAATCACCAATCATCTTTAGGGAGAATAAGTTTTGTGTTATTATTAGTGCTGCTCCAACATTCACAATGTTTGCCTAGACTCGATCCGTTGGTAGACACAAATGTCGGCCTCATTCGCGGACTGAGAGCTGATGATGGAAACTATTCCAAGTTCTTGGGAATACCGTATGCTCAAGTGAACCCTGACAATCCATTTGGAGTAAGTGTGATGTGTTTGTGCGTATATACCTATCTACAGTTTAGACGTTTTCAATCTGACGTGTTAATAGTTATATAATGACGTGTTATAACAAAGATGATATTTCTCCAGGAATCAAGAGCACAACCCAAATTTGAAGAAATATTTGAAGCGTACGATGAATCAGCGGTGTGCCCCCAAATGTATTGGTGGACCGGCGAGATTGACGGTAACCCCAACTGCCTTCAACTCAACATTTTTGTACCAGATACTGCTAACTCTAACAATAGACTCCCAGTAATGGTTTGGATCTACGGAGGTGCTTTCGAAAGGGGGGAATTTAGTACAAAATTGTACGGACCCAGGTATTTGATTAAACATGATGTCATAATAGTCACAATAAATTACCGAGTTGGTCCTTACGGATTCATGTGTCTTGATACTCCTGATATACCTGGTAATCAAGGTTTAAAGGACCAACATTTGGGAATGCAGTGGATTAAAGATAACATAGAGGCGTTTGGCGGTGATGCAAACCAAATTACATTATTTGGTTTGAGTGCTGGTGGACATTCTATAGACCTGCATCTGTTATCTCAAAAGGAAGTAGTTTATAACAAAGTTATTATGCAAAGTGGAAGTTCTTTAGCTGCAACAGTTTTGTATGAACCGGACAGATCAGCTCACATAAAACTAGCACAGCATTTAGGCTTTAAAACTATGGACACCGATGAAGCCATTTCATTCTTAGCTAAATCTGATTCAAAATTAGTGGTTGCAGCTACTCGTGATCTTGGTATCGTTTTCAAACCTTGCATAGAAAACAATTTTGAAGGAGTGGACCCGTTTTTAAATAGCTCTTGGATACATGCTGCAACACCAAAAGTTAGGGACATGCCTGTGCTAACTGGATACAATGAACATGAATTGGCTGGCACTCATTTCAACAAGGATGTGGAATATTTTAAAGACTTGACAATTATATCAGATTATATGCAGAGATTATTTAATTTCGATGAAGAAGAATTACAAGAGATGAGTGATTCTATAGCGCATTTTTACTTTGGTGATGAACCTATAAGTTCAGATATTAAAATGCCTCTAATTTATTTGGATTCTGATTTCACTTACATTCATCCCATACAAAGAAGTATTCAGAAATACATAGAAGCAAGGGCAAGGAATGTTTATTATTACGTTTTCTCATATCTAGGAGGACGAAATTCTATTTTAGCTAATGATGGTGATGAAAATACTGTTTGCTGTGCCGCTCATTCTGATGATGCACCGTATATATTTGACATGGTGAATAAGCCGCCACCAACAGCACACGACGAAGTTGTAATTGAGCGTATGACTACAATGTGGACCAATTTTGCCAAATATGGGTTTGTATTTTTCTTCATAATCCTAGAAAGTTCAAGTATTTCGTTATTAAATAAGTTAAGCTCATTTTTCTAAACTTCACATATTGTCACGTTACCCTCAATCAATTTAATCTTATGTATAGATCTACCTGGACAAAAACTTAAGAAAAATAAGTAAATCGTGTGTTTTAAATGAAATCAAAATTAATCCATTATTTTATTTCAGTGACCCAACACCGCAGACAACTGAACTACTCCCGGTGAAATGGGAGTCAGTGACAAAAGAAACTTACAATTATATGAACATTGGCTCTGAACTTTCTATGGGCAGAAGACCAGCTCATGACAGGATGGCATTCTGGGACCTGTTCTACAAACTGAACGGAAACAAACACAAAATGTAAACAAGTACAAAATATGCACGATCTTAAACTATTATAAGAATGTATACATTTTTTAATAAATGCTAATATTTCTCAGAGAAGCATGTATTGTAGTATTATTATGTACGAAACTTTACACATCCACATCCTTTAAGCCCTCTGCTGAGCAAGGCTCTCTCGGAAAAGGCTTGAGCATTTATCATCACGCTCAAGGCGAATTGGTAATTTCAAACTTGTAATTAGGAATTAACAGGTTTCCTTGCGATATTTTTCTTTAATAAAGTCCAAATCATCTTAGAACGTACATACTTAGAACTTACAAAAAGTTACACGGGTACTGGCCAGGTATCAAACCCTTTTGCATAATACGCGGAGGCTTAACCTACAGGCCACCACGACCATCAGCCGAGGTTGCGGGGTAAGCGCAATGAGGCATCGTGACCTCTGAATTCTGATCTAATCTGATCTACAGATATAAAATAATAATACCTATATCATTTCGTATGTTTAGACGCATGTCTATTTTTCGAGAAGTATTTATTTTGAGTGTTTCGGCTTTCGATTTTGCTTTCGCGCTGATAAGAATTATTGGCGTAAATGTATGTTATTGTTTTGTGTAGTACGCTATTCTTCATTTTATAATAGAAATAATCTATCAGATCTTATAAATATCTCTTAGGCCTTAGACATAGATGAATTTAGCATTAATAACACAGTTAAATTATTATTTTATAGACGAGAAACAGATTAGGCGTGAGTAAGCGTTGTGTATGCGTACTACTTGTAGATTGTAAGCAACCTTTATAAGCCACAAACTAAGTGAGCTGAAGCCGACTTGATGGAGTCAATCCGGATCCAGAACCGGGTTCACTACATAAGCAGAAGAAAAACACTGCAGTACTTTTCGCCGGTCAGACTCCGACTGAGGATTCCAGTCGTATTATTAAAAACAAGTTTCAGTAAAAAGATAATTAGTGATTTAATTTAATTCCCAATTTCCACGAGTACGAACCTCTTTGCAAGTGTAGCAAATTAAACTGTCGGTCGACAACGTCCGACAGATTGACACGACATTTATGTGTTAATTAAGACCATCTCATTCTGTTTACTGGATATTTTACGAAAGAAATGACTTGTTTATTTGTGATATATGAAATTAATGTTATATAACATCTTAAAATTTACGCCATGGCGGGATCTAAGACAGTTAATCATGCAAATGAAATGCGCCAGGCCACAGTTTTTCACTCATTTCATAGCTAATTACTTCAGATTCTAGCTTACAAGAAGTTGCAGCAGTTTAGGCAGTTGAAAAAGATTTTTAAAGCAAACTATTAAATGAAAATCAAATCCCAAACAAAAGCATAACAAGCGTATACACTACACAACATGAACACTATGAAATCGTACACAGATAATAAATCTCACACACAGACCGATCGCTAGAAATCAATATGGCCGCACCGCTGGGTATTATTAATTTCCCGCGCTAATAGAAAACTGTCAAAAACTGAAGAACGTTAATTTTACACGTCATTACCTCTAGAGGGTCGAATCGACCGTGCGATATCCCATTTCGTTAGCAATTAATTAGCTTTGAAGAAAGAATCGGGGGTTAAAATGAAGTTAAGTAAGGACTCAAGGGTTAACACTTGGGACGTGATTTAGAGATTTTGTAGGAAATTATTCACTTTAGAATTTCATGGAGTTTAATTTGATTCTTTTTAAAGTTGTACATTCCATTTAACATGAATTTCGAAAATGAGCATTAAATTTATAAGTGAAATATAATCCGGATTATGTAAAAAAGGAATTGCCGCGTTGTTGGTCTTAGTAGCTGTGATTGTGAAGTTTAGTGTGAGTTCGTGAAGAATATTGGGTTTGGGGAGTGTCGACCCTAAAGTGCAAACTGACAGTGACTTACCTGATGGGACGTAATCGACGCCACCCAGGGATACCCACTACACCAGAGGAGTTGCAAGTGCGTTCTTTTTTTTTCAGGGTACAATCATCAAATGGATTCTCCCACTCAGGGTAAGGCGAGAGAGAGTGTCAGACTCTTACTGACTAAAAACCCCCCCGTTCCTCCTCCTGTTTTAGGCCAAGGCCGAGGTGTCATATTGTGCAACCTCGACTGGTTACAAGTGCTTTGCCGACCTATTTTGATTAAGGGGTTTTGGGGATTTAGGGATAAGGGAAGAACTGGGCCTCCGGTAACCTCACTCACACAGCAAAACACAACCCTGTGGTTGATTCACTCCGGTTTCCTGTGAGGACTTGGATGAATTTTGTCGAGCTGGCTTATTCATACCGAAGCATCGCCTTTAAGCATGAACTGCAGCATATAAACATATAAACACACTCATAGAGTTATCGCTATCATCAGTGCAAATTTATTAATCCCTAATCCGTTAAGCAATATATTAACGGATTTCCTTTTTTAATCTTATTATTTAGATACCAAATTAAACGCTTTGATAAGTAATCTACCTACACAATGCAACACCAAAATATTTATAATTGCCTCGATAAAAATTAATTGTTGTCATGTGAGAAAATATTTCTAATACATATTCTAATCACATTTTTTATTCCCATCCGCCTAAGTAGGTATACCATTTTTTTGTTATTATGCATGTATACTAGTTTGAATCCACAGCTTCGCCCGCGTGTTATGTTAATAAAAAACCGATCTACATACCAAAGTGGTTCAGTTGTTTCTTACTAGCTAAAATCACTCTAATCCTTCTCCTGCTCCAGGCCCAAGGCCGCGGTACCTTATTGGGCTTGCCCCACAACCTCAGCTGATAATAATTGTATGACTATTGCTTGATAGAATAATAAATAATAATAGAATAAGACTAAGAAATTTTCGGAAAAACAGAAAAATATCCTCGATATTCATGAAAATTAAACAGGAAGTCTAGTATCTAGATAATTGTGGACCAACTTAATACTTCTTCTAAATAAAAATAATGACTTCTGTAAACTTTTTTTTTTATTTATCCTGCCTGTATCAAACGAGGTTTATTTTAAAGCCTAAACACAAAAACATGTCAATGTAATACCAGAAGATAAATAGATTGTCATAAAGTGCTTTTTATCCGAATGCGGAGCTTCTATCCCGTCAAACACGAATGCTTGTAAGATAAAATATGATGCAAAAACTGAATTAATGAACGTCCAAAGTCTGTTATATTAATTACGTTTCCCGTTCCCCAAGTTTGTTTGTTGAGTTTGTGTTTTTGTTTTTATTTTTAAATGTCATTTGGGTAATTTTGAATGAATTAATTATTCTTTTTCGAGTAAACTGCAAGTTTAAGTAAACAAACTAATGAGAGTGCAAGTGATAAGTGGATAAACTTATATTAGTAATGTCCATATAATAAACTTGATCGGGAGATGATCTCCGGCCACCGTAAGCGTGGGTCTGAGGACGGCTGGTAAGGGTAGCTCGCCGCCCGACCAAAACCAGACCCGAACATACGGCGCGTAGAGTTCCGCCAATAGCCCACCACAGACGGGGCCCCAGCAAGCTAATGTTCAGCCAGGGTTGTGGGGCAAGCGCAATGAGGCATCGTGGCCACGGCCTAAAGCAGGAGAAGGAAATCTTTAGTCAGAAAGAGTCTGACACTGTCTCTCTCTCTTTCTTGCCTTACCCTGGGCGGGAGAAAGCCTTTGATGATATTCCACTGACAAAAAAACTTAGAAAAGCAGTATTTTTGCAAGCAAGAGTGTTATATACTCCTACCAGCCTCACGGAATACTAAGCCAAAACACATACGCATTGTATTTTACCATTTAAGCGAAGTGACGGCCCAATCCACAACAACACCCTATCAACGCAACTCTTATAGCGCTAGATATAGATATTGTTTATCACTCACCAAGATCAGGCTAATCGATAGTATCCAATAAAAAAACTACATCCCGGCCAAAGTGCATGAAACACTGTCACAAAAGAAATGGGAGAAATCAAGCGATCCAGTGATTCTTGTCACTATAAAAATCACTTTACATCGAAACGAACTACAAACCCACGAACAAATTCATCCCGTTTACATTGAAAACGAAATACTCAAAGCCAACACGAGCTTAGTATCGTACCAGTGTACCTGTGAGCGTACCATAAATCATACTTAAGTCTGTCTGTAGCCAAAAGTCTTGCAGCCCCAGGGAGAGAACTAGATACAAATCCATAAAGTTACATGGCCATAAAATATTCACAATCTACTCGGATATCGTCTTCTGTACAGGGTCCGTTTTCAATTTATTTGTACTAGGGGAGAAAACTTGCCAGAGGTACTACAGATTTCAGATTAATACTGAATTATTAAACGAGTTGCATTAATGTTATATTCATAACTGGAGTTTCTCGATCTGCTTATTGATTTGAGTTGGAATGGCGTGACTGAATTTTTCAAGAATTGCTGGCACCCAGCTTACTTTACTTACAGATTTCTACAAACGCAGGTTTAGTTTTAATATATCTATAAGTTAATGTAATAATGAACGACGAATGTTTGACGTAGCTTTACTTTTTCATGTTAAAATTATTCAAATGTTATAAATAAAATTGGGCAAACACGATAGTCTTTATACGACTTATAAAATGTATTAATAAATAAAAAGAATATTTCTATTAAAAGGTTTGATAACACTACTAGACGTAAATACAAAGAAATCATGTTTAAACAAATATCTAAAACAAAAAATAAACATTTCACGATAAAAGAAAAACTGCATTAGCACGACAATTTTTGAAAATTAAAGGACAAAATATGAACTTCAGAATATCAGGCAAATTCTTAATGCTGTTGTAATAATTAATTATTTTGTATACGCCATCTCTTCCCATGTTTTAATGGAGAGAAATAGTCATTTAAAATGAATGGCCGGCCATCTTGTTTCTCATCAAGACGTACAGTTAAATGAACGTGGAGTGGGTACCTTTGGGTTACAATGCAGAAATTAAAGTATATCAACATCGTTTCATTGACTTTTCTTTCTTCTTCTTCACGACGATCACCTAATTGTAATCAATAGGCGTCGCCTATGAAAACCTACAAAGAGGAGTTACAAATGTAAGTAAGCA